GTTAGACTCCTTGAGGGCGCATATCGTGGTGATCCCTAAGGAAGGGAAAGACCCTGCGCAATGTAGGAGCTACCGTGCAATAGCCCTACTTAACGCTGACATCAAATTGTTCGCGAAAATTTTGGCTAACAGGCTCTCTCTCGCCTGTCGTCCGGAACTTAGTGCAAGACGACCATGTGGGGTTTGTTTTAACTAGGGAGGCCAGGGATAGCACAGCTAGGGCCCTCAATATCATACATGGAGCGCGATCTACCTCCTCCCTGCTGATGATCCTCTCCACAGACGCCGAAAAGGCCTTCGACAGGGTGGATTGGGCGTTTTTAAGGTCCACCCTTCAACATATCGGACTTGGCCCGAATATGTTGACATGGCTACTTGCCCTCTACTCTCGTCCCACAGCGGCGATACGGGTCAATGAGACCAGATCTCCGTATTTCCCTCTCACGAACGGAACACGACAGGGCTGCCCCTTGTCCCCATTGATGTACATCCTGGCGTTAGAACCTTTTCTCTGTCATGTTAGACTTAATGGTCAAATATCCGGACACCGGCTCCACTCGGTGGATCATAAGGTCGCAGCGTACGCTGACGACCTCCTGTTCTTCATCTCCCAGCTGCGCTCTTCACTCCCGGAACTTATGCAGGAATTTAGGGAATATGGAGCTCTCTCGAATCTGGCCATCAATTGGTCTAAGTCGGCAGCTTTAAACATCACTCTACCTCGGGCGGAACTGGGCTTTATCCAGGCCCAGTTTCCATTCCGATGGGAGGAACGTTCTTTGCCCTACCTGGGCACTTTTCTCACCCCTGATCTGAAATCATTATATGACGCCAACTATATTCCACTCCTGCTCCAGATTAAACAAGACCTGATGAAATGGCAGGCTCTCACGGTCATTTGGTTTGGTCGCTGTACCGCGCTCAAAATGACCATACTTCTTAGGATTCTGTACATAATGCAAGCGCTGCCTATTTGTCTCCCGCCAGCGTTCTTTGCCCGCCTTCGCAGGCTGTTCCTGACATACATTTGGGCGAATGGGGCACCCAGAATAAGTAGACGTCTCCTAATTATGCCAAAAGCCTCAGGTGGGATTGGACTACCTGATGTGGCCCTCTATTATCGAGCTGTGCACCTCCAATAGAGTAATCGATTGGTGTTGCCACTCAGCCCACAAACAGTGGGTGCGCATGGAGGTGCAGGCTTCTCCGGTGCCGCTGACGGGACTCCCGTGGCTGTCTAGCGCTATACCGGCAGTGTGCTCTCAACACCCCACAATTGGGGCCACGCTCGGGATCGTTCGATCCCTCTTCAGGTCATCCCGACTCTCCCCGTTCCCTTCCCCGCTCACCCCAGTGATCGGGGATCGGGATTTTCCGGTGGGCCTGGAAAATAGACGCTTACGTAGCCTGGTGGGCCTCAACAAGTTTCGGGTCCGGGACTTCCGGGCGGGGGGCTCCTGGATGCCGGTGCCTGAGCTCCAGGCATTGCTAGACCCTCCTCTGGATGTCTGGACCTCCTTCCAGCTTAGGCACTTTCTCCTGGCTATTCCTGCCTCCCTTCGACTGGACAGGCCCCTGACTCCATTTGAAGACATCTGCGGACAAGGGGAGCCGGTGCGCCACGCTCTGTCTCTACTCTATAAATTACTAGTCGCTTCCCCAGAAGAGTATTCCCCTCAGTACCTACAGAGGTGGGAGACGGAGCTGGGCGTCACATTCTCCCCCGAACAGAAAGACAGTATGGTACATTTCGCCACTAGGTGCTCCATCACCAACAAATTCCAGGAGCACGGATACAAGGTTCTGTCCCGATGGTACAGGGTTCCACACGTTCTCCACAAAATGAACCCAGCCATACCGGATGTCGGCTGGAAATGCGGCGCGACTGGAGGTACTATGCTCCATATTTTCTGGAGCTGCCCCCTGCTGACGAGATTCTGGGAGGAGGTGGGAGACATCATCAATACACTGGTGTCGCCGACTTTGGAGCTGAACCCGGCGGTGTTCCTCTTGCACATGACCAAACTAACACGTCGCCAATACAAAGCTTCCCTGTCGGTGCATCTACTAAATGCAGCGAAAGCCTGCGTCCCAGCGCTCTGGAGATCGAATATGGCCCCACCACTGCGTCTTTGGCTTACAAAGGTCAATGAGATCTACCTTGTGGAGGATCTCACGTCCACCGTCCATAGCTCAGAAGAGAAGTTCCGGACCACTTGGAGAGCGTGGACACACTACATCGCCACTGGCCCCTACCTGCAGATCATGAGCACGGAGAGTTAAATCTCGGGGATACCCTTGACATATAAACATATAACGCAACAAGTAAGGGTTACCGTAACCGTTACCTAAGTCCAAATCTTGGACTCGTGCCAGCGCCTTCGAGCTGAAATCGCACTTTGTGGGGAACGTGTCTGAGCCGTGTGGCCTCCGTTGGTCACACACACTCTTGCTTACAGAGATAAGCAAAGAGAGGTTCACACCATCATGTTCCCAAGCGTCCCACCCGCACAATCTTTAAAAATCCACCCTGCGTTCCCGCCAATTGAATGGGGGGAACACCAGGGGGGGTCATTCATCATAATAAATTCATTACATCCCCTAAAGAAAAAGTGGGAATTCAGTTTGAGGAGAAAGAGAAAAAGAAACAAACAGTATAATTCAATCAAACACTTCAACCAATATAAACCATGAGCTATCTACCTATACCAGGCTGTCACCTTCTTCCTTGCTTATTTCTCTTTATATTCTGATGTTACGAGAATTCCTAGCACATGAGGTACTGCCTGTCTAGTATATGATAACACACGATACATATGCTCACCGGGCCTTATTGAAGGGAGGAGGCCTTCCAGCTTGCCGGTCAACCTGCTGCGAGCGGACCCCCGCCAGTGTTCAGTCGCTGCTCTGGAGAGAGTCACTGTCCAGTATCGCCTCCTGCCATCCCGGCAACTGAGGTTTGTTAATAGAAAGCGTTTCACAGAATTGTGACAATTCTTCTGGGACACGTAGTATTGCAATTCTCCCATTTTTACGTGCAATTAAGCAAGACGGTAATCCCCATCTGTAATTAATACCCGCTGATTGAAGATTCTCCAGGAGCGGACATAGGGCCCTACGTCGTGCGAGGGTCTCCTGGGCTAGATCAGGGTATACCTGAATGCGCACTCCTTCATAATCCGTCGGTGGCTGTTTCCGCATGATATTCTCTTTTTCTACATAGTAGTGGAAGCGGCAGATGACATCCCGCGGTGTCTCGAGTGCCAAGTTGCGTGGTCGCGGGACGCGATGTATGCGGTCAAACATCAAAGGGGTAGGTGGTGTTTGTCCCATTATTTTGTTAAAGATGCCCCTTAATGTGTCTACTAGGTCTATGTCAGTTATAGCCTCAGGTAGACCGTGAACCCGCAAATTATTCCTGCGCCCTCTGTTCAGGCGGTAGGCAGTAGTGCGTTGCGCCCGGCTCAATGACTGCATCTGCGCTTGAAGTGCCCTAATCGCCACTGAGTGCGAGTCTAAACGTTATTCTCCGTCTTCCACTCGGTGTAGCAAGTGCGTCATCTCCCCCTTCAAACCTTCAAAGTTTCTATATCCATCTTCAAAGATTGCTCTAGTCGGGCGAACATTTCTGTCAGCTCGTTTTTAGTAGGGAGAGTTTTCATCATCTCTTGTATGGGTAGTATTACAGAGCGCTCCAGTTTCCCCCCCCCGCTCAACTCCGCGAGTAGGAGAGTCTATAGCCCTCTGACGTGGAGACTGACTGGGAGAGAGACTCGACCGAGCCGGTTCAGAGACGCCATACAGGCTTGTATTAGGGGCCTTCGTCGCCCATTGCTTTCCGGTTTTCTTCTTGTTCATCCTCCGTTTTCTTCAAAGATATACCCGGTTGACGTTCGGGATGTCTGTGTGCATATGTGCGGGCGTGTAGCATGGAGGTCACATTAGACGCTACCGGCCGCCATTACAACCAGGACACGCCCCCCCCCCTACATTACTACATTGATACTACATTTAGGTCCATGTGCCCGGTTGTGTGTTCTTTTGATAATTTATTTTGGTAACATTAGACTTAAAGTGGAACTTTATCTAAAATGGTATTTTGTAACTTCAGTTGGGTTTTATTGCATATGTGTCTATATTGGAGAAATGTATCCTCACTTGCTAACCCAGTGACACTAAAGCAGGCTATACACAGTGTGAATTTCGGTTGGTTCATTAAGAAGTAACAGAACCAATAGTTTAAAAACATCTGTCCACATGTATAAATGTGTATGTATACTTGTATACATGTACAGTAAATGTTCCCTGTATGGAGAAAAAACAGAGCACACAAACTGCATTCCAGTGAAAAAAATGCATTTAATGAGGTATTAATTAATACAGAGCCTAATTACTTTATATTTTGTATATCTCCCTGAAATTTAACTTTATTTCTAATTGGCTGGAATTGCTTACTGCAAGTTAAATTTTTATCCTTGCCCTATTTATTAAGAATGCATTCAAAGAAGTTTTCCACTACAAGCAAATGTTTACCACCCTTTCTATTGATCCTACAATAGTCTTGTCTGGTTGAGTATCAGTAATCATTCAGTAAGATTACTAATCAGGCAGCAGTATGTATGAGGAATGATTGTTGCAGATGAGCTTCGAGGTAAAAACACAAGAAATGAATCGGCCACATTGAAAACATTCTCATTAGTACAACTTCCCTCTGTTTTTCTGTTTTCTGGAAATCTTGGAAAGTTGGCAAGGTATGTGCTATATGATCAAAGTGATGAATTTTGATGTATTTCTGATAAAATAAGGCATTGCTAGTGCTACTCTACCATGAATTTGCTTTATTGATATTTACACCTAGCTAGTTCCTACCTAAAGGTTATTAATTTATTTAAATGACAATTATAAATGGAGGACATGTCAGTATCATGGTTTGAGCTCTCTTGATTTGGAGTTTTCTGTTAAGTCTTTATTAAGTCACATTTCTTTTGTCTCTTCACCAGCTGGTAGTACCCGAGTATTGCATCCATGGCCTATTCTGTCTCATGTTTATGTGTGCTGCTGAATGGGTCACTCTTGGTCTGAATATACCACTGCTATTCTACCACCTTTGGAGGTAAATATTTTCACAACATCTTCTGCAGAGCTTTATTTATGTATAAATTTATATTTTATATATTATCTTTATAACATTCGCAAAGTATGCAAATATATTATGCACATTATTTGTGATCTGCATGGCTTTGTATATGTAGAATTAAGCAGTGATTATGAGAAAGCACTCCAAATTGTGCAGATCAATAAAAATGTAAATGTTTTTAGGTAATAAAAATGTTAAATGATCAGCACGATTTGGAGTGCTTTCTCTTGAGGTGCAACTTGGCATCTTTGGCTAATTTCCTGAGTGGTGCAGGCTGTTTTTAATGTGGATGGTTCCTGTGGAGATCTCTGGATGCCCCCTATTGATCACAAACAAAGTCTCTATGACCCTTTTCTCAGGCTACACTGAGGTTTTCAGCAATCTTTTAAGGGTGGAGCCATCCACACTTGTGGAGAAAGAAGTAATCCACTTTTGACGTAATAGTGTCGGTGAATCTATGAACATTTATACTGCAGATTTGTCTATATATTGCATGAGTGCTGCTTAATATATCTTGAACAAGCTATTAGAGCAGCCTGAACATACTGACTTTGGTATTGAAAGGTTTCACATAACCCTGGGTTCCAAATGCATGAATTGTTTTGAGCCACATGCTGTGATTTGCCACAAGTCTATGGATGGAATGGATATGTATATCTTACTGGATAATGTTTAGAGATTTCTATAATGATATTGACTAAAACATCTGACTGTTCAAGTTGACAAAGTAAAGCATTAAATACAGGTAATTTATGGCTTTGCCATACTTCTTTATTGTGATGTTAACCAAGCGTAGGAATAAATAAAATATCTGGCCCTAGTCTTTTATTGTTTTTGGCCTTAATTTACACTGCAATAAAGAAGTATGTGAAGCCATGAGTGCCCTGGTTTAAAGCTTTACTTTGTAAACTGAATTACTGTGATTTGGAAAAGGTAAGCAGCGGGATTAGACCTGGATACAGTCTTTTGCAGTAGCTGTAGTGTGCCGGCTTCCCTTATTAATACATATGTACCACACATTTATCGTTTTTTTACATCTGACTGTTGACTATATGTTTGGGGCTTCATTAACTTTTTTGCCCTATGATCCTATGCATTTTCTTCTCAGGGGTAAAACAGGATTACAAGCTTAAGGAAAATAATAGTTAAGGGAGAAGTGGAAGAAGGAGTTAAAGTGGAAGTTAAGTGGTCTTCAAAAAAAGAAAGTCCTCTGAAGTTTTTTCCCCATAATATAAGTGATCCCCTTCAGTGCTACACTGTCCTTGATCTCCTCTGTTGTGGTGCTTTCATCTCCACCTGGTCTCTCCTCCTCCATAGAGGCAGTCAGCAGAGGGTGTAACCATTTACACACTGCATAGCTACACTTAAGGCTCCGCTTCCCAAAAATGTGTGATCTGTTTTGTTCTTACTTTTATAATGCATAATGATTTAAAAAGCTTTCCTGTTTATCGCATTGATATATAGGAATGCATATTTCGTATACAGAGATCTCAGAACAATAAGCAAAACCAACATTCAGCATATCAACTCTTCATATATGGTGATAAAACTGTGATATTGTCAGGGTACCAGGGGTCTTACCACTCCTCGGGGTCGCCATGTGTGGTGGAGGGCACAGGTTCCCCTTCCTGGCAGGATCCCTGGCGCCAGGGTTGCGGGTGCGCATGCGCGGCAGGTGCCCGCTTGCGGTGGATAGGGTGCACGCGCATGCACAGGGGCGCGCCCGTAGTGCGCCTGCACCCATTACTGGTGTCAGGTGTGATCTTTGCTAGGGGAGGTTCCCAGCACACACCCTCTGCCTTTTCTCTTGCCATTGGCTCCTGGATGGAGAAGCTTTCTGGTTGCCTCGGCAGCCAGGGGGTGGTCTTAGTTCCCCACTGTGTATAAAAGCCCAGTCAGAGCCCTGGCTCATTGCTGAGTTATTATGTCAGGGGAGTATGGCTGGGCCTTGAGTGGAACCCCTTGGCAGGGGCGGCAAGCTAAAGTCCGACGTCAAGGTACACAGGGGAAATCCAAGAAGAGTAGTCGGGTCCAATCCGGGTCGAGGCAGGGAGCTAGGTTCAGAAATAGAAGGGCAGGCCAAAGGGTCGGTAATAGGGAGTCCAAGGAAAGGGTCAGGAAGCGAGATGGTTCAAGGCACAGGAAGCTGGGAGATCACACCATAGGGATAGAATAACTTGGCAATGAGCCAGGGCTTTTATGCACAGTGGGGAACTAAGACCACCACCCCTGGCTGCCAAGGCAACCAGGAAGCTTCTCCATCCAGGAGCCAATGGCAAGAGAAAGGCTGAGGGTGTGTGCTGGAAACCTCCCCCAGCAAAGATCACACCTGACACCAGTAATGGGTGCAGGCGCACTACGGGCGCGTGCAGCCTATCCACCGCGAGCGGGCACCTGCCGCGCATGCGCACCCACAACACTGGTGCCGGGGATCCTGCCAGGAAGGGGAACCCGTGCCCTCCGCCACACATGACGACCCCGAGGAGTGGTAAAACCCCTGGTACCCTGACAGATATTCACCTTCCTTAGCAATAAGCATGATATATAATTTCTGACCTCTTGATTAATATTTTCGTTTTTTTGTAAGTGTGATTTAAGTTATAAGTGGTTTTTATTTCATGAGGTGGATTTCTATTTCCTTACTGTACCTATTCTGACTATTATTAATACTGTATATAGTCTTACTATCATTCTTACTATAATTAAGTCATGACATTGTTAAAGCAACCCTGTCATAAATATTAAATTGCAGAAAAAAGGTCTCCCTGCTAAAGAAGTTGGTAAATACTTATGTCACGTACCTGGGTGGAGACTGAGCTGACCAGAGGGCTACCCTTGCACCACTAGTCCAACTCCCCTGGGGATGATGACAGAAGGAGTGGGGAGTCAGCAATGGATTCAGGACTTACACTGACTTTATAGTGGATCAGACACCACTGAACATGCATGCGCAGCGAGCTAAAGTTTGTGCGCATGGAATCCAATTCGTGTGCGCCCATTATTAAGAGCATATTTGCCCTTAAACCAAAGGACAGGTGCGCGCTGCAGGGTGCGCGCATGAATCAGGGTAGCATCTGGATGCCCATCTGAGACATCCTATCCGGATGGGCCTGGAAAAACTTGTGGATAATCTTGGGGGCATGCACATTAGTTTAGGGTTCCCATGAGTTTTCTTCAGGGGCCGCAGCTCTTCCATTTAATCAAGTATTGTAGCACGCCTTTTCTCCGTCTGCAATCCACTACAGCAGAGGCGTAACTAGAACCTTCAGGGCCCCGGTGCAAGAAACCATGAAGACCCCCCCCCTCCCCCCCAGCCAGAACGCCAGGGCCCGGTGGCAATTGCGACCGCTGCGACCTTGGTAGTTCCGCCAGTGCACTACAGCCTCCACCTCATATTCTTTATCGCCATTAACTATGGTAGGCGCTGGAGGTCCTGAATCGCGTTCAAGAAATGGATACCAAACTACAGGTTTGAAAAACTATGAAAAACTGGATGAATCTTGTAAATTTTCGGCAGAACCAGTTCATAAACGAATTCGTTAATCTTCCTTTTGATCTCAAAAGGCTCAACAAATGTAGGACCCAATTTCATGGATGGGCATGTTAATTTAGGGTTTGCAGTTGACAGTCATACCTTATGCCCGGACCCAAGATTCAGGTCGCCACTTCTTTTCCTGTCAAATAATTTTTTGGTATCTTGGTGGGCTTTTGAGATGGCGTCTTGAAGCACACATACATACACACACTATATTGCCAAAAGGGACACCCCACCAAATGATTGGATTCAGGTGTTCCAATCATCTCCATGGCCACAGGTTAGGGATGCACAGATACTTTTCGAGTACCAGTGCAGATACTTGGAATTTTCATGAGAACTACCAGGGTTGCAGCGGTTGCAGCTGGGATCTGGCTCTGGCGCTCCACCACTGTCCTGAAATCATTAGTCTGTATTGTTTTAGAAAAACTGTCACATGACAATAAACAAAAATGTATCAGTACTCGTACTTGTAAGTACTCGGCAAGTATCAGTACTCGTACTCGCAAAACTGGTATCGGTGCATCCCTTTATTTATATTTATAAAAACAAAATCGTACATTAAAACAGAGATGTACAAATCCCGGGAGCTCCGTGTGCTCCTTACAAATGACAGCGGCCTCCTAACTTTTAAATTTTTCTCTAGTCTAGTCTGTGCAACCCTACCACAGGTGTAGAAAACCAAGCACCTAGGCATGCAGACTGCTTCTACAAACATTTGTGAAAAAATAGGTCACTCTCAGGAGCTCACGGAATTCAAGTGTGGTACCGTGATAGGTTGCCACCTCTGCAATAAGTCCATCCGTGAAATGTCCTTGCTATTAAAAATCCCAAGGTCAACTGTTAGTGGTTTTATAACAAAGTGGAAGCAACTGGGAACAACAGCAACTCATCCACAAAGTGGTAGGCCACATAAAATGACAGAGCGGGGTCAGCGCATGCTGAAGCACACAGTGCGCAGAAGTCGACAATTGTCTGCAGAGTCAATAGCTACAGACCTCCAAACTTTGTGTGGCCTTCAGATTGGCAAAACATAGAGAGATTCATGGAATGGGTTTCCATGGCCGAGCAGCTGCATCCAAGCTTTACATCACCAAGTACAATGCAAAGCATTGGATGCAGTGGTGTAAAGCACCCCGCCACTGGACTCTAGAGAAGTGTAGACGTCTTCTCTGGAGTGACCAATCATGCTTCTCTGTCTTGCAATCCAATGGACGTGTCTGGGTTTGGCGGTTGCCAGGAGAACGGTACTTGCTTGACTGCATTGTACCAAGTGTAAAGTTTGGTGAAGGGGGGGTTATGGTGTGGGGTTGTTTTTCAGGGGTTGGGCTTGGCCCCTTAGTTCCAGTGAAGGGAACTCTTAAGGCATCAGCATACCAAGACATTTTGGACAATTTCATGCGCCCAACTTTATGGGAAAAGTTTTGGGATGGCCCCTTCC